ATCTTTTTCAAAGTTAATTAAGCAGTTAGAAAACACCAGTTACCCCCATTGTTTGGGATAATAAGGAGTCTTCCCTATCTTGTCTGTTCTTGCTTCGTACAGGGGAATGGGAAGTAGCTATGTCACCTTTACTTGTCCATCAGGGTGTATCTTATTTATGGCACAGGTTTGGCTGCTGTCACAGAGAGATCTCAAAATACAGTGGTTCAGCCAATACCGAAATTTATTCCTCTCACACATAATGCTTAGGGCAGTCAGGTAGACAGGTAGCTCTTCTCCACCAGGTTGCATAATGTTCCGGGTTCTTCTCTCTTCTCCACCCTTCCTGCCACCTCCCAAATCAGAGCAAATATGCTCTGCTCCTTATAAGTCGTTTTCTATAAATAAAGTTTAAATATATATTTTCTTCTCTTTTTTTTTTTTGCTTTCTTCCCCTATGTGCGTTCTTCATTTCTGGATCTAAAATTTGATTTTCTGTTCACCTGTGTTATTGATGATCAACAGGCTGGTACGGGGGTCCTGGGGAAGTTGTCCAGGAGAAAGGAAATAAAATTCAGTTTTAAATTCCCAATCCATCTCTTTGTTTGCCACAGCATAAAGTATCTTTTCCACAATCAAAGGGAACATTGCAATTCCAAATACCAACAGTCTAAACAATAAAGAAAAATTACCATGTGAATCTACAGCAATTTTATTTATTGAGTCAGACATTCCACAAATATTTGTTGAATGCCAAACCTACTTTATGCCAACCATGATTCTAGATGCTAAAATTCTTTTTTTTTTTTTCCTTTTTGTCTTTTTTTTTTACTGGCCGGTAACGGGATCGCAACCCTCNGCGGGAGCGCCGCCACACTCCCAAGCAGCGCACTCTCCAGTGCGCCACCGGGCCAGCCCTAGATGCTAAAATTCTGAAGTCATATCTTGGCATGCTACACGGTACTAAAAGACATTGCTATATAAAAACAAGGTTATTCAAACTATAAAAGCTAAACATACCCTTTGTAAAAGCCTAATCAAGCACTAATATACAGGTATTCCTACTGTCAGTAAAATCTCATGCTGCATTTATCCATCACCTAGCAGGCATATTCGGTATTGTGTTCTAGTTTTAAATTCTCTTCTGATTTAACATCTTTTGAAAATCATTATCTAACAAAACCACAGAACTCTGATACTCACAAGGTCAAAAGAACTTTCCTTCCACGTATTAACTTTAAGAAACGGAGCCACGCTATTGCACAGACCTGCATTCTCCAGAGGCCCATGCCACTCACAGCCTTCTGCATTTCAGGGAGAGAAGAGCAAGCTGGCTCCATTTCATGCAGGCTTTCCAAGTCTCTTATCTCTGCTTGTTCAAAATCTATACACACACACATTGTTAATGCCATCCTGAGGACAGCACAGTATTTTCTTTTTAGTAATATTAAAAATTGTTTCATATTATTTTTTAACCAGAGTCAAAGGAATTGTTTAAGGAATTATTTTCAGTATTTATTAGGTTTATACAACACCACTGCCTTCTATATTTTCCCTTTATAGTTAAGTTTTATAATTGCCAATAGTGATACACATAAAAATAAAACTTTTCTTAAAAAAGGAATTGTTTAAGGAATTATTTTCAGTATTTATTAGGTTTATACAACACCACTGCCTTCTATACTTTCCCTTTATAGTTAAGTTTTATAATTGCCAATAGTGATACACATAAAAATAAAACTTTTCTTAAAAAAGAAAAAAAGTTTTAAAATGCTTATAGTTACAATGCAAACAATATTTTAAAGAATGTTATGTCTACACTTTATAAATTCAGTGAGAAAATATACTAAATTTATACCGAAAAAAGGAATGCACAAAAAGAATGTTCTCATTATACCTAGTCTTTGAAAAGGGGAAAGAAAATCCCATATGTAACAATATTCTGAGGGATTTGAAGATATCTTCTCCATAGGAATAGCCAGTTACTAATGCCTAAATGTCTGCTACTGCTATGGGTTGAATTGTGTCCCCCAAAGGTTCATGTATTAATCCTCACTGTGACAGTGTTGAGAGCGAGAAATCCCATCACAGTAATTGAAAGGTGGAGCCTCTAAGAGGTGATTATATTGTAAGGACCATGCCCTAGTGAATCATGGAGTAAATACATGGATGGTTTTACCTTGTCCTACAGTGGATTTTCCTTCCAGGTTCATGAAGACTTCACTCAGAGTTGACATGGAAATGTCATAACTCATCATCCCTTGACTGGAACACTTATCAAGATCACTGAAAAGGTCTAAGGCAACAGACAGGAATAGATACATTTGAAAAACCATATCAATAATTAAACCTAGTAAGTTAACACTTATTTAAAAGATGATGCAGAATATAGTTCAGAAAATGTACGTCTTTGTAGTATCACAGTAGTCAAGAGCAAGATTTCATTAGAATGCTCTCACTCTCTGAAAGGACGGTGTCAGACCTGTCCCTTAATTATGAACACATTCTCTTGTTGTTCCTCCAGTTGCATTTGGGACTGTCAATTTCTATCTCCCTCCTGGCTCCTTTTCTGCTTTCTCTTGAGGTTTCAGTCTTAGACCACCTTCTCTTACCATACACCAAATTCAGACCCTAATGCTTCTCTATGCTGAAAATTCCCAAATTCAAACCTCACTTGTCCTCTAATTTCCAATTTCCTATATACAACTATATACTTGATAAGTTGATATCTCCATTGGAAGTTTTATTGGGTAACTCTTCCAGGGGGATACTTGGATGAGGATGTGGGCTTCTAGGATAAGACTCTCACATGCCACTTTCTACATCGGGTGGGGTGACGGCCAGCAATATTACTGAGAGGAACTAGATGCGGGAGGCTGCAGCAAGGAGTGTTTCCCCATAGGGGAAACACATGATGTGCAGGGGACCTGGGAGTCCCACGTCCAAGAATGGATATAAGCATGCCATTAGGCTAGCAAGGGCCTGGAATCTGTGTAAAGAGGCTGCCATGGGCTGGAATGTCAACTCCAGAGACTCTGGCTAAGTGACATATTCCAGAGTAGTACCAGCATATAACTCCCTAACCTCCTTTTCTGACCAAAAAAGAAGGTAAGCCAGTTGCACCTCATGAGGCCTTAATTCAAGAACAGAATAACATAATATAGTCCACCAAACTAAGAACACCATCTTCCAGGCTACTACAAGGATACAGATGCTGTCATATCTGGAAGTGGGGCCAAAATCTGAATTCCTGAGTATTTAACCAGAGGGACTGAACCATCCAAAAGAGCTTATTTAAATTAGGCTTATAGGGAGTTAAATCATTAATAAATTAAATGTTTAAACAAAAAAGAAGCTGTTTAACTCAGAAGAGAATAAAGTATATTTCCTCATTTGTAAGGTAGGGAAAATTGTATCACACACCTCACAGAATAGTTGTGAGGACTAAATGAGTTGATATATATGAAACTATTAGAACAGTGCCTGGCACATAGTGAATACTGTACAAAGAGTTAGTGATTTGTCGGAATACTAATCAAACAAAGCTTAGGTTGGTACTGC